AATAGTAACCTTAATCTTTTATTCATTCATTATCATGTTTATCTGAGAAAGTGGAAATGAAATAATACTAACTTTGTAGATGTACCCTTAACAATTAAAATGCAAATCTATTCTTCATAAGTTTTGCTATACTGAAAGCTGTCCGAGAAAATTGAGAGGCAGCCACAAGAAATGGAGAACAAGGTGCCTGTGGGATGAATTGTGCTTCAGGGACTTGTGGTCCAGCAGAAGTGAAACCTCAGCTTCAGTAAAGATTCAAGATGCATTTTAAACCAGTGTTGCTTTCTGTGCAGCTTTAGCAAAGACATAAAAAATATGCACAGCACTGTACAATATTACTTTAACCAAGTATGGCACTGGATTTGTGGCAAATATTTTCTTTTGGTCGGGACACATTTACCTAAAGCTCATTTCACTCAAAAATGTATATTATTATGTGGCAACGACGAGAACTCTTGGACTGGATATCGACCGACTGCACAGAAATATTGAATACTTCAATATTGGCAGCCTTCCACTCAAGCTAGCCAATTTGTTCCCAGACAGCCAATTGAGCCATGCAGCTCTTATCTGCTCACATGCTATTGAGAAATGAGTTTAAATAATTCCAAGTATTTAGCTTGGTATTGATAAGTTCTGAGAAAATTTGGCCACTAAATTAGTCAGCAGTTGATGGGGGAACATTAATCCTTCAGCTGGCACAGCTTGTTAACAAGCTGATGGATCTTTTTCAATAAAAGCCTGCTGAACGACTAGCACGGCTACAAAAAGTGTATTTTGTCGTGTCTACAAAATAAGGACAGGGCTTTTGGCCAGCAGGTTAATGAAGCTAATTGACTCCTCCTTATATAGACAGTGAAGTGTTGCGAGCAGCGCTTTGTGTTTTGTTTCACTCATGTGTGCATTTTCACAGAGATTTTTATCACTGAGGCACCACAATGCTTAACTGCCCACTGATGAGCTGCTCGAGCCGCAGCAGGCATCGCTGATATTTCTCTGTTTGCTTGTTTTTCTCTACAACAGTTTATTGAAATTAATGAGATTTTCATCACAGCTGTCTCGTAATAGCACTTGAACGATTGGGAGCAACAAAAGCTGCGATGGTGAGAAGCAGCTTGTCTTTGAGCTGACAGTTGGCTCTCTGTTCATTTTTCAGAAACTGACTTGGAAGACGAAGGATGTGGAGAAATGCACTGTGAGAGGGAAAAACAGCGTGAGTATAATCTTCCAGACACATACACATTCTCATCTCGTTCTGTTTTCGGTCTTGGGTTTCACTTCTTAGGTCTTCTGTATTTGCCTCTGCCTTCATTTCCTGAACAAGAGAAGTTTTCTAATGAGCAAAAGTAGTGTGCAGGTAGCTTATCAGAAATGCAGCCATCAGGAGAGACATATTTGAGTTTTTTGGCATCACATTTTTCTCTCCAGAGCAACGGTGAAACCACAAGAATTGCCCTGGGGATTACGATAATGACTGTGAAAACGCAGAAAACTGTTAACCTGCTACAACTCCTTCTTTGATTGTGTTTTTGCCGTGCCAGGACCCACAACGGACCGGCTTTATGATGTGCAATAATGTCCAGGTCTTTTTCTCCTGACAGGATGAATGTTACAACTACATCAAAGTTCTGGTACCACGCAACGACGAGACGTTGTTCGC